CCACACCTCACCTGTTTGTGTAAACTGTGTTTTGGTAGCTTATGCGTTTTTAAAACGCTGAAAATAACGTTTTCACACCGTTCCTATATAGATGCGGTGGCAACTTTTTGGCAGCGATTTGGATTTTTCAAAAAAAAATATTTTGTAATAATCACCGCACATAATTTATCAGCAGATTATTTTTAATCAGCTTATTAGCAGATTATTCAACAAGTTGCAGCTCCCCCAAACAGACTATTTAAAGTCTTCAAATTTAATAAATTTTAACTATATTTTATATTATTTTTTAAAATAATCCGGCTCAAGAGCTACCGAGTTGAGTTCGGGCTAGTTTGAGCTTGGCTTGTTAGCCCATCGAGCTCAGTTCACGAGCTACTTATTAGTCGGCCTCGAGCATATTCACTAATTGACTTCACTGACTTACACATCTAATATTATTATAATATCACTAAAATATTTTTAATTCAAAATATTACATGCGGATGTATTAGATACGAATTAATATTATTGAGATTATATTATGATGATTTATTTCAATATCATTTTAATTTTAGCAACTCACATAATATTTGTTCCGTGATCGGCTGCCTCGAATCCCACAGAGAAAGCAGGATCTCGCGAAATAAAAAGGGCCTGCTAATTACCGTATTAAGAATAAATATCGTCATTAGTGCCTGCTAATTAACTCGGGCTCTGTTTAACAGAGGATCGCACCGCGCAGTGGTAATGACAGAGGATCTTCCATTAGTTTCAAGGAGATCTCCGACCATCACGTTTTTTAAGGAAATATTTTTATTTTTTTATTTTTTTTATTTTTTTATAATTTGTTATTTAACTTTTATATTTAGAAGTGCCACAAATCTAAATATTAAATATTAAGGTTGGGTTTGGGATACCTGAAATAAATTAGTTTTGATAACTATTAGAAATTTTTATTTTTTTTAGAACTCAAACTGTAGTCAGAAAGACGTCACCACATCGGATAGGTACAGTGTGAAATCGTTGTTTTAAACGTTTTGAAAACGCATGAGCTGCCAAAACCTAATTCACCTAAACATGTCATGTGGATTTTCAAAATATGACCGCACCAAATAAACTGCTCCCAACAGGGTCTAAACTGTTTGTAAGCACAAATATAGGTTAGAAATGTAAATAATAAAATTTTGAAAAAAAAAAAGAATTAGATCGATTTTGATGGCCTCATTTGGGGGCAGACCGGGTGGGAGAGGTAAATGAAATTTGTTGGGGATGGAAATGGAAAATGCAGGGAGGATTGGGAAGGTAAGAAATCAGAAGCAGATATTTTGGCAGGTAGGGGACGCAAAGCGATAACTGTAACAGGGAAGAAAAATAGTTAAAAAGAAATTGCAGAGAGAATCTATGGCAGGGTCTATCCTCGTAGGAAAACAAAAATAATGGATCTATTCTCTTAAAAGAAATGACCCCGTTTACTTTTTGTCATTTCTCCACTGTTTGGGGCCCTTTTTTAAATATTTTTAGACATTCGGCCAAAATCTGCAAAGATTCTGAAAGTGTGGCAGCGTATTTTGCATCGACGGGATCAAAAAGATGTAATTACATGAGAGGTCGAAGTTATTTCTGTGCTATTTTCAGATTATTTTTAGTTTATTTTCAATAATACTGAAATAACTCAAAAATAACCCAGAAAGAAAGACCGCGGGTTATTTTAGGGTTATTTCAGGATTATTGAAAATAACCTGAAAATAACTCAGGAATAACCTACGCCGCACGTAGAGCTTCGTCGGGAGTCCGGACAGAAAGTGCGCTCGAACGTGATAGAGGGTGAAGCTGGAATTTTTCACGGGGATGGAAAATTCAATAATTAGTCGATTATTGATTTGAAATTTTAAGATTTTTTTGCTGATTTTGTATTGCAATAAAATGTTAATTATAAAGGAGCTAGGCTAAAAATGGCAAGGATTAATTCATTGGTGAGGAGTTGGAAAGAAGTCTTAAAAGAGGATTAAAAAAGGGGTGAGCAAGGATTATATAAGTCTAATGCATAGAAATATAAGATTGATAAGTGTCATTTATCCAAAAATAAATAAATCTTATTAAAAGGATTGTCTAAAACATAAGGCATAGTTGGAAAAGAAAAGGAAACCTTTTTACCTTCTTATATTTCCAACTCCTTACCAATGAGGTTTTGAGATCAATCATGTTGAATCATAGTTGTTATGATTAAGCCATAAATTTCTCATTTGTTTGTTTTCATTTTCATTGATGAGCTTTTTATGGATGTTTGTTATGCAATAAACTTTGAGGATATCATCATCATTCTAGTTTTTTGTTACTAAAATAATGATATGATTAGCTATGGTGTAGTAGATTTGTTAGTTATTAAATTGTGGATGATTACAATAAATGAGATGTCATATTTGTGTGGCTTTATGCTATGGAATTCATGGTGCATATGAGGCAATTTTAGTTTGGATGGGGGTGGGGGATGTGAAGGAGGAGTGAGGGTGGGGGACTAGAAAAAAATAAATTATTTTGAATATTAAAAGTATCTAAACAACTTTTAATATTTTGTTAAACTTAAATATTTTTTAAAAAAAATTTAAAAGAATTAAATTTGATTGTTAGATTTTAAAATTATAAGAAAGAAGTAATTGGTCCCAATAAGTACTTAATTTTTTATTTATACAAAACTTAAAATAATTGGATAATTTTTCATCTAAAGGCATTAATAAATAATTATGTCTTGAGTTTTCATCAATTTCTTATAAGAATTTTGGAATAAATACAATTAAAGAGTATAGTTTTCCTTGGGAATTTAGATGAAGCAAAAAGAAAATGGAACTTTTTTTTATCAAATTAAAAACACGATTATATCTATTAAAATATTTAATATGAAGATATTTAAAACAAGCATGACTCCCGCATGTCAAAATACAAAATTGAATTTATATGAATAAGGCAAACCAGATCATTAAAATATTTATAAGGGTATGATAAATTATTAAATTCATTACAATAGCTTGCTACCAGGATGTCTGATAACTTTTATATTTCTTTATGCTTGGGTGGGGGATGTGAAGGAGGAGTGAGGGGTGGGGGAGTAGAAAAAAATAAATTATTTTGAATATTAAAAATATCTAAACAACTTTTAGTATTTTGTTAAACTAAAATATATTTTTTTAAAAAAAATTATAAAAATTAAATTTGATTGTTAGATTTTAAAACTTTAAGAAAGAAGTAATTGGTCCCAATAGGTACTTAATTTTTTATTTATACAAAACTTAAATTAATTGGATGATTTTAAGGCATTAATAAATAATTATGTCTTGAGTTTTCATCAATTTCTTATAAGAATTTTGGAATAAGTACAATTAAAGAGTATAGTTTTCCTTGGGAATTTAGATGAAGCAAAAAGAAAATGGAATTTTTTTTTTATCAAATTAAAAACATGATTATATCTATTAAAATATTTAATATAAAGATATTTAAAACAAGCATGACTCCCGCATGTCAAAATACAAAATTGAATTTATATGAATAAGGCAAACCAATTTATTAAAATATTTATAAGGGTATGATAAATTATTAAATTCATTACAATAGCTTGCTACCAGGATGTCTGATAACTTTTATATTTCTTTATGCTTCTTTTTAGGGCTAATTCAATGGAATTACATTAAAAAAAACAGTCAAGTATATATTTTATTTTTTAATAGGCAAACATAGTTTATGACTTCAGAAAATTTGTCTTTGAGTTAAAGGAGCTTTGGTTTGAGTTGGGAAAAGCTTTCAGGGTCTTGAAAAGGTTTTGGAATTTGGTTTGGTTTTGCAGTTTTGAAGAGTTTATGGTTTTTAAAATTTTTTTAAGATTGGTTTTGGATTTTGAAGACCTTTAAGGATATGAAAAGTTTTGTTTGATTGGAAGGTTTTATTGGAGTTTAATGTATAATTGATAATAAATATTGATTGGAGTTTCTAGATGAAAGTGATGCTCTAACCTTAAGATAAAACAAAACTTGATAAGGAGACTAAATAGGTGGACTAACTTAATTTTTGAGTATAACACTCTCGGTCAGGGTGCCCATGACTTTCTATCATCTTGGGTGTATTGGTATCCTTAAACTATTAACCAGCTGAATAGTTAAAGTTCTTCATTGTCACCAAAGTGATGACGCATGTATAACATCTTACTATTAGGTGGTTTGAGGT